CTAATTAAACGCCTAATAGATATTTATAGCTCTTATCATTGTGACATTTCATAACAATATTTAATGTTCACCAGAGGGACATAGAATCTATTTCTGCCCCTTGTCAAATTTTTATTATAAAGGGAGTCTTTCAGCAGCTTGTTTTTGGAACAAGCTATTCATGCTGGCCGACAGATGGACTTCGTAGTGATCATGAGAATGTTTCAAAATATCTCCAGCGCGTTGATGGCAGTTCGGTCATGGCAGAATCAGCTTTTCGACGGTCTCCCATAATGTGCCTTAAAGAAGGCCATAGGAGTGGGTTTGCTATGCTTCCCGAGGGAAGAGGCAATGCATCTAGCGAGACCTGTGCCCCAAAGATGGCGTCACAGGTCATTATTAGCATTTGATGAGCATCCCTCATCATTGTGCTTGTATTCATCCGTCCATCCATCCAGGACGCTCTATCAAAACCCTCAAACAACGTAAGATTATGGAAACCATATGATAGCTATTTGATGTATTGGTAGCGTGGTGATCCTCAACCATATGGTTCAGCAAAAACAGGCTAGATTTCATGAAAGAGATATGGAATAGGTATAAAGCACAGTCAATGATGTCGCGCCATTGCCTCTCCTCGTCGTACTTTTTTGGTGGCTGCGCGATTTTGATCCGCCTGCGTCAACCACTCGGCAACGAGAGCTCTCTTTGCGTTGCTGTGTATTTTCCGCACCTCGCGAAGCCACGATGTGACTGACGTTGACGGTACAAGAAAAGGTAAGAGAATAATTAAATAGGAAGGAAACCAAGTGTCGCGAAACGTAAAAGGTTGTTCACTAGCTAAATATCGATAATTTGCAGTGAAGCAATAACATGCTTTGTGAACGCTATCGTAAAGAATATAGAGTCATTTGAGTACGTCCTTGTCCTGTCGGTGACTCAACGATTTGAATCTCGCAACTCTTTTTCAAGAGCCCTCTATGTTAAATAAATACGAATACATGTAATCTGCTACGATGGCGAAGTGTAGAGAGCATCGTACCCGTAATTACGGTTCCCGGATTTGAGAAGTTTCAGCCGTTACAAACAAAGTCCCCCGAATTTCATCTGCGATAGTCCCTGTGGAATCAACAACCTATTATACGATGATGTCTTTTGGGATCTTATGTATTTTAACTGGGCAAGAAGAAGAAGGGAGAATTAACAGAATAAATAAAGGCAAGTATCTTTCCAGTTAAAGACGATACTTTCAAGGATTGCAAGGTCGCCAGCTAGGCCTTGCCAGCTTAAGATTAAAACCGAAAAGATGTTTAATTCTCTCAAGTAAAACATTTTTAACTTAACACACAAAGCGGACTGCAAATACAACTACTGGACGTATGCGGTAAACTTTAGGAGGTCTTCTGATAATTATCTGCCGTGATTTGTTGTAAAGCCTACTTTCGAAATATGCTTACCGAATGAAAATCGACCCATGTATGTCTTCGATGCCTTGGAGCCATGCTCTGGACGTACCGCAAAGGCTGTCCTTCAACCTAAATAAGGCGGTAGTTGGCGTCCTAGCCGAACTGTAAGGCCAGATAATATTATCTTGCATTGTCACTTCTGCTAGCTTTAGTGTACGGTGGCTTTTACGAGCCATGTATAGTTTCGGTACAATTACATCGAAATGACCAGCTACGCAGTTACCTACAAAAGTCGTTTAGGATCGTAACATAGGTAGTACAATGTTAACTTTTGCGATTACCGCTGGTGACAAAGTTATTGCTACACCTACGATTCACTTAATCATTATAGCAATTATTGCTATTACTGATGAATTCGCGAGAAAAATCCCACTGTAATTAGACGAAATCTTTAACTGAGCTACAACAAAAAGTTCTTGCATTTAGTACAAGTGGCTAAAACATAATTTTTTTTTAATAGTTCATTGCGTTACCCGGCTGAGCTTTTCCGGTATAGTACACGTTTAAGCTGACTTAATGTAGAACTACTCTATTTGCTTTCCACGTGGGCGGAACCCTTGACAGTGTCGCTGCGGCTGCCGGCGTCTTCGGCATCTGCAGACGACATCCGACGATTAAGTGTTTCGAAACTGATACCGGTAAAGGATTGGCTTGATTTCATTGCACTCGAAAAAGAACATCATAGTCGGCAGCAGTCTCTCTTCCGGCCACGCGCCTCATGTTTTTTTGCTACGGAGAGGTTTCTCGCCTGTCCCGAGTAGGTTGCTCGTCTCTTTTGCGTTTCTCAGACCCGTCGGGTACAGCAATGCTAAACTAAGTGTCGTTTGTCGGGATAGCAGATCCATGCATATTTCGGAATCGTACGATACCGCAAACTCTTTACGCGACAAAATACGGTACCGTAGATGACATTGAGAGGGCTCTACTGGGTTCTGACGCGAGGCTGCTTTAGTGGTACCTCACCGTCGTCTCTCCGGAAGTAGATGAGGTGGGTGAATCGAGGACCGCCTGAGTGCCCTGGCTTCGAGCAATTTACGTTGTGCCCGCCTTCAATGGTGCAACATCATTTCGGTAGCTGAGTGAAAATTAACAGCAGCCGAATAATGACGATTTTGATGGTTATGGAGGAAGCTGTTGGACGACGCAGGCAGTGTGATGATGCTTTTCCATAGCGGAAAAAGCGCTTCTCTTTCTGGACCTTCATACGCACGCAATACTTCATTCGACCTGTCGTTTCAGAAAACGACCACCTGTTCACGTTTTTGTTGACATCATTAGGCGTGCGCACGTTTCAAACACTACACTGAATCGCTTATACTCTAGATAATATTTGTATCTTTAGTGCAAAGTTCTCAGTTGTTTGACACGAATGAGCCACTTGCCAAAAGCCATTGGATTTTCACAAACTCGACAAAAATAAGGGCTTTTGATGTCGGACAGTTGAATCCGAGCTTCGAGTGAGCTGTGAGCGAGAGCGTAGGACATCGGATTGTCTGGGGCCTATGCCCCACGTCGGGTAGCTAAAACGGCTCTACCAGTTAAAGTAACATTAGTGACAAGAAGAATACCATTATTCAGCCCATGGGGAGGATTGTCTTTAACTGTATGAGAGTAGTAGTACGATGACAACAGCAAATGTTAATATATTACTTTCTAATTACAAGATCATAGTGTGTTCTCATGTAGCGTCTGCAGATAAAAGCGCCACGGCTATTAGCGGATAGATTGTGGAATTCATGGACGCTATCTGACAGTGAGGACCGAAATTTTACAGGGCATTTCGTTTAGTCTTCTTGTTAAAATTTAAGCAAACAGGAAATGCGGATTAAAAACAGAAACATAAAAATTCCTTCAATTCGCCGTTACTTTATTGGCATTCAACTTCTCTTCCGTTTATTTTCTCTGCATTTAAAGGCAACGAATATTGTCAAAGACAATGGCATCAATTTAAGGGGCAACATGCTAGCCTATTTTACGCCATACTTTTTCTTAAGTCAGGGGACCGAAAACAACTGTGGCACAAGTGAGTCTGACGGATCCGACCTAAATTACCGATATACGCTTGAACATCTCGTAGGCAGAACTGCGTTTGCCCACGCAAACAGTTTTTATGTTGCGTCTTCGGTCAACGTGCCCGAATTCTGATACTGCTGGTTTTTTCTCTAATAAGGACCAGTGAAAGTTAGTATCGATAGGCAAAAGTTGGCAAGGCTAAGCGGATGTTGAACGATAAAGACTGAAAAGGTCACAGGAAAGAACAGGTTACAGAGCATCGGCTTCCAATCATACGAAACCATACAGTGCGATTGTACGTGAAAACTTTTCAATATGCCGGCAGGGTAACGAGCGATTGCTTGCCATCAAATCAGGAAGTTGTTGAAGCGGTGAGCTCTATTTTGAGACAAATGAAGCCTTATACTAGCTAGAAAAAAAGAGGGCGTCTCGGTTGTGTCGAGAATTCGTAACTATTCCTAACAACAAGCATGATCCTCCACTTGACAGAAGCCACTAACATAGCCATAGAACGAATGCGGCTATGGATGCGGATAAAGCAATGGCACAAAAAGGTGCTGTGTGTAATAAGCACGATAAGTAGGAGTATAGAACAAGCCATGTTTGGCAGGGTACAGAAGCTAAAAGGTCTGTATATACCATTGACCTAGAATGATTGAAATTGTACTACAATAAAAACAGAACTGGTTTATTGCCACTCCGTGGGTGACCTATTCTGCGGGTGGTAAGGGAAAGAGGGGCAGAAGGGAATATAAACAACGAGTCTGGACAACGCTATCTATAGATTTCGAAGTGAATACAGGTGGCGTGTGATCTGAAAAATAGGTATTTTACCCTAACAGTTGTCCCTACTTTTTGCCATTATTTGAGAATCATTCAGCATTTTTCTCCATTGACATGTTACTCGTTTGCTGTTCACATAATAGAACGAAAGCGATGGAGCTAAATTTTTACTCTTAAATCTCTCTTTAAAAGACCTTTAGTCGAAATAAGGATTTCGGCAAAGTCAGTTTTTTGGCAGCGAGTGTTGACGGAACGATCACAAAGGCCGAATGGATTTGTAGATCGTTGATCAGTGGAGGCTTGTCGAATGGTACGTTGCTGAAACGGGGTCATCTGTAAGCGTGACATAAACGCCTCAGTTAACCACTGACCACCTAAGTTATATTGTATCCAATTCTTGCATAACTTTTATATCACTCTCCTAGGTTAGTTCCAAACCTGTTGGTGCCCTATGAGTTATATTGTTGTTCTAAGTTGTATTCCTAATCTAACCTGCTTGCATAGAAGAAGCAGTCCTTTTTGTCCTAGCCATTCCACAAGAGAATATACGACAGGACTGACTCCACATCAAGCCATTAATTTGCGCCTCCTCGCTCATTACTTTTATGCGTTTATGTTCCATTGACTGACCTATCGGTGAAACGTTTTCGAACTCGGCACCTTACCAGTTACAGGGTACAGATAGTTATAGACCTCAACATGAGTGTGTAATAAAGGTGAGTTCTCCGGACCTAATTCTATTTTGTTTTTCCGTTACAGATACATATCACATACAGGGCAGCAGAAGCGAAGGAACGCAAACAGGAACTTTGAAGATGGATACCTTGGACATTGGAACACCTTCAACATCAACGTTCGGTGCAGATAATAAAAAGAAACTGATTTAGATAACTAACATGTTCTAGTACTATCGATAATATATAATTGGCTCGCGCAGCGAAGACGTAGGCAAAAAGGCCCAGTGAAGGAAATCTGCATAATTAACATTGTTGCATTTTTCGCCCAACAACCTTTGCCCAATCGTACCAGTGGGAGCCACCGTTTGCAGTGACTATACCGCTTAGCAGGCTTAATTGGGTCTCATTGCCAAAAAAACACGCTAAACAGAAACGAGCCTTTGCTTCACGTTAGCTAGCATAGCCCAGCGAACCGGAGTTAAGGGATAGCAATGGTTTCGGCTGTAGACTGATCACATATACCATACACCTGAATCGCATGGAGATACATTGTTTGTGGTCACTGAATACACACAGAAACAAGCAACGACACTTGAGATTTTGTGAAAATTTACACCAAAATTAACACCAACTGGCACATTCTATCTAGATTCTGTCTATTGTTTAAGCCGCATAATTCAAACGGGAAGTTAATTAACCTTTTGCGATCAAGACCACAAGCCAGATCTTAGAGGAAAAGTTATTAGTGTTTACTCAAAAGAAAATAGAATACAAAGTAGAAGAGCAAGCCGCCGATCAACAATCAAGATGATCTCGGCAATGCCAGCGGTGGCCTTGCGCCGCGAAAAGAAGCGGAGCAAACCAGGCCTAGCGAGGGCCAGTTCCGCTGCTTCATTTGGAGGCCAGGCCAAGGACGTCGCAAGCCAAGGAGACGCAAACAGAGCGCCGTCCGTTTCCACGCTCGACATACCACAACGCATTGTCAGGTACGAATACCGTCCAGACACCGCACCAACTAACCGAGCATCACGGCAATGCACACAGTACATACCCATAATAGAATACAGCACAATGAATAAGCACCTCTAACTACTGTCCACATACCCCCAGCATCTCGCTCCCTTTCCAATTTGTCCTTGTAGTCATCGCTGTGGTTCCGACTGCTACGATCCTGCTACGCTTTATAACTAAGCCACCATTAAGCAATGGTCTAGGGTAGCTCTGCTGGTTTGGGGGCCCCAAGCCCTTCCTGGACACAATAGGAACCTAGAACACCTAGACACTACTGTTAAGCGACGACTTACTTATAACGCTAAGAGCAGCGAGCGATCACAGCCAAACACTGAAATATGAAATGCATCTAAAAAATAATTAAACCTGTGGTTCCTTCTGGATTCTATGGTTCGTTCGACAGTGGTGCAATTAACCCATAATGTCAAACTGAGGCTTATCACACATACATTCCAATATGTTAAACGGATACATATATGCAACATAGAGTAGGTAGTGATAGGCCCGTGCAAAGGCTCAACGAGGATGATATGTGCGACATAAGAAACTAGTATTAACACGATTTATCCAGTTTCATGGATTAGTCAACCGACGTGCTCGATGTTTTGTACCTAGTGCGTTCCGCACGCTCGTGTATGAAACCAACTAGTAGATAAAACTCCGATAGCCATCTATATGCAAATAGGCCTTGCGCTAGTCACAAACTTTTTGAAAAGTCGATCCTTCATGCTTTATACTAATACATGCTAACATAACGAAAAATATCGTGTCATCGTTTTGGTTTAACTGCTTCCTTGCCAATGTAGGGCCAGCCAATGGTTGTTCACGATACGGTCAGTCAATTCTAATAGCATTTTAAGCGGCTATGAAGACACCTCATTTGCTGTCCCCCATAGTGCACTATAACGAGGAAAAATTATTTTTCTATGAGTAAGTTCTACATCTTGATACAGAAATAATAACATATACTGTTTCCTTCTATATATGTAACCAATTCCTTAACTCGTGGAAGTTCGGAATCTTTCGGAAAAAAATAGTTATTGATATAACTACGCGTTTTCGTGCAAATTTTAAATTTCTATAGTTAACAGTTTCAGTTAAGAAAGAACACAGCTCCCAGCTTATCCCAGTTTATTATCTACGTCATGTTAATGTATGTATAACCTACAGGCGAGTCGTTTACGAACCACGCTTGATCTCTCTAGGCATCTTCTAGTGGATAGATTGCACTTAACACTTAGGAATGGCATATAATAGAGTACCACACGATGTGTGTACATGTACTATGTATAACACGCTATATGTACAATATATATACGGCACAATGTGATGTCTCGTTAATCTCGTATATTATTGTACTCGCAACATGGACCACGTGTTACCGGTCAGAGTCAAACAAGTATGTCAGAGAACGAGCGGCCGAAAATACTGTTTGTCTTCTTTATCAGATTTTGCTAGGATTCCATTAAGAGGGGTGACGAAGCAAGGGTAGCCCCACGCAAACAGGACTAATGAACCTACGGAGGTAACAGACCTTTCTCTAGATTTCGTTAGGTCAATATTGAGTCGACGAACTGCCATTTTCCACATTTCGCCTTCTAGGAAGTATTGATTAATCACTGTTGATTGACTGATTGATCGATTAAAAGTGGCAAAACATTAGATTGTCAGAAAGGCAATGGCCATTTTGGTCCGGCGGTTCTTTTTTCTTGTTTCTTAATCGCTGATGATTCAGGGTGACACATTTTTGGGAAACTCTGTATAAATTACAAATTTAGTCTAAAAATAATACGGCAAAAGAAACTGTATTTTCCATCCGTCCTATTCGCGGGGCGCAAGATCAAAAAGTTGCCAAAAGAACTAGAGTATTTTTAAGCAAAAGAAAGCATCGCTGTCGACTTTTCAAGCTTGACTACTTTAGAAAAAAGAAGATAATTGGTAGCTGATTTAATATCTTTTATGCATAAAGTACTCACTATACGCGAATCAATTTCCAGGATTACTTTCGTAGTTTGGCGACTTTAACTTAAAAAAAAATTCGTGTAGAAAATTTATTTTTTTTCTATTTAACCTATACATTTTTAAAATTCAAACTTAAAATTAAGCATAATGGTAGAAAGAACACGCAAAAAGCCTTGTAGGGAAAAAGAAGAGCTTTCTTACAGCGGATGAGGCTGTTAATCATTAACAACAAAAAAAATTAGCAAAAATAAACGATGAATAAAAACGGCTATTGTTTTTAAGCAATTGAATGCAGTGCCTAAGCTTTGCACTCATCAAAAACGCATAGCTTCCCTATTAAAAATAACTATTCCAGTTCTGTAATAATTATCACTCTGTGTTATGGCATTTATCGAACTACTGTAGATTGGCGTATGGTATAGTAACATCTGAGAAACATGAGGTACTTCGTTTGTGACGGGCAATAACGGCTTCGCTCTTAAATACAAAACTAGTTCATTTACCATTATATAACCATGGTATGTGGACCACGCCCTTATCATAAATAGTTTCATCTGTTAATGAGATGTGGAAAATCGTAAATTACGCAGATCGGTAAAAAACTACACAAGCACACACATAGTATAGCATAAAGCAGAAACGAGGCGACCTTAAAGCATTGTTAGCTAGGTGCGCTGCGTCCGGGTCTCTCTTTAAGGCAATAGACGTGACTGGGCTTTACTCGGGTTGAGATGAAAAGAAAGTGTTAGATTCACGTGTTCGAATATCAGATGCCCAACTATTAGTATCTCTTCGTTAATTTTACAGTCGTAAGGGTTTCGTACGGTAAAAAGAAATATAAGAATGTAATACATAGGATACATTAGCCAAAGGTAGTAATGGCAGACAGTGAAAAACGTAAGGTGCAGTGTAATGCGTTGTAAGTTAATGTGAATGAGAAACAGGAGGTTTTTATCGTTGTAGGAGCAGCTACTACGTGTCGTCCTTCCGAGACTGCGACTTTTGAAAAACAAATCTATTAAGCAAGCAGTCTTTTTATAGCAAATTGCTTTATATAAGGAATTGCCGCCCTCTAGAATAGGGCAAAACCTACATATAGCTCTAAAATAGGTTTGCTATGCAGAGGGAAACAATGTGCTCAGTAAACTTGCTTTCAGTATTTCTCGAAAGGGATCCATTTGGTTTCTCAGCAACGCACGCAGACTATTATTCAACGAGCGTCGCAGTAATTGATAGTGGTTGCTCTGTCAAAGCGGATTTGTTCTTTATTGGATAGCACCACTGTTAAAGTTAGATCGATTTCTTTTGAAAACGAGCATTGTCGTCTCTGGCAAATCAAATGCTATCCAGCCTAACTCAGTTTGCCTAGTTCAGCGATCAATGCTAACTTATTAACTCTAGATAAAGTTTGTAGTTCTATTGGAAGCAAGCAGCAACTCGCTCGACACCCTATTGACTTAATCAATTACTCGTAGATGGCAAGAATCGAAAGAATACCCAGGGCGACTTTAACTTTTGTTTGAGCAAAACTGTCAAAGAAAAAAAAAAAATGTTAAGGAAGACGTGAGAGCGTACACAGATTCATTTCCAATGTAGCAATTGAGGAAAGGAACCTAATGCCGATAAGTTTAACGGCTACACTGATCACAAATGATCTTTGCTAATAATTTTACATGCTATTTCCATTCATTCTACGATCATTGACTTCAATAAGCGATAAAAATAAAGTGTTGGCTATTGGCTTCGTTTCAGATTCAAGTCACGGGAGCAGGAACAACGGGAAAAACTGTTTATGTATTGCGGCACCCTGTGTCTTGTCACAGGTAACTTACGACTAAGATCTAACAGGACGTCATCCTGCTCATGACAAATCGCCAATACTTCAATTCAACCAATTAGAAAAAAACTCATATTTGTTTTATACTTTGAATTGTCATCGTCCCTTTTAGGCACTGTCCTGGTCAATCCAGAAGAATGTATACATGTACACGATCATGTTCGTAACTATAGGTATTACTAATAACCGAAAATCACAATAGTGCGCATATGCATGAGGACTGCCATAATCAAACAATACTTTATTGAAGCTTTCTCCAACAACTTCTTAGCTTCCATGCCTTCCTGAATACGGGTTCTTATTCACTATCTATTTAAAACCGGCAGGAATTGAGGTGACTAACTTCGCTTACAATGGCAGTTACACTGTATAGCATATCATAAATAAATACAACAGCAAACTAAAGTCGGTGGAAATCTTTATTGAAAACTGAAATTTTGACTCCTGCACACATTAAGCTAGTCAGCAGCTTTCGCTGCTTTTTAGATACCAAATTTTCATTTGACTCAATGATGTTGTTATTAGCATTAAATAAATATATCGTTTATGAATCGCGGTCTACCTAAGACACTGAATCACGTGCCTACCTGTAGCGTTCGTTGATGGCGTGGTGCGTTCGAATACCAGGTAATGCTTAACAGACGGCACAGAATTACATCGAAACAAACCATGCCTGACTGAAATACGAAATCGGGTAGAATCTGATACATTGTTTGTCCGTGTTTTAGGTCTGTTTTTGCTGTTTATTGGCGTAGGTGTTCAAGTGACGCCTACACGAACCGTGGGGTTACTTTTCATCGCGTTGGGCGCCTTCCTATGCTTCCTCAAACTTGTTATAACACCGGAAGAGCCGCGGCGCGCTGCGCCTCTTCGCCGTCATCGTCTGCTTGGCTCCAATGATTCTCTCTATAATCTCGCCCTGCCAGGTAGGTTCGACCACAGCGAAAAGCGCGTCGTGATCGTCAAGCGTTGCGCATGCGTAGCATTTCTGGTGCTTATGGCCTGGCAGTTCTGCTAAGTCTATCAGCATCTTTAGCACTGCATAAACCAGAATTTTTCGTTATAATTCTTGGTGACTACCGCCAACTCCCGTGGCCATATAGTAAGAATACAATTTGTTCCTTAAAGCTTTTGAAAACAACTGTAAACGAAAGCTTGTGAGAGAGGGGAGAGAGAGAGAGAGAGAGAGAGAGAGAGGGAGGGAGGGAGGGAGGGAGAGAGAAAGAGTCTGTACCGAGGAGTCGACTGGTATGTGTACGCTACAACGTTTTAATGCAGTTTAGAAGTTAGGCAGTTAAAAGCGACACGGGCAAGACAGAAAATTGCTAAAAGCGCTTCTAGCATTGTAATAAACAGGCGTAGCCCACCCTCAAACGGCAATCAGTATTCGCTAGACCAAATGCTATGTTAGTGCCCGCAGCGCTTTGTTACGCTAAGCGTTGTCTTCGTGCCATTTACCAATTACAAAATGAGATCGCTAAATTCAATACTTGACTACCCTCAATACTTGCCTGAGCTTCGCCGGGGAGAATCGAAAGCAAAGCTGCTATCTTTGTTTTCTTCATTATTTCAGACATAAGGCATACTTGGTGTTGTTGAAGCTTTGCTAGCGAATCATGTGAGGTGCATGATAATGTCATACGCACGTCTTTGTGCTAGCGCTATCAAGCATCTTACAGCGAATTTCATAGGTAGACAACCATGTAGTCGCTAGCGGTGACGGCTGAGTACATACGGGGTTTTTGTTATTGTTGTTGTTAGAAAAGCCTCGAAATCCCATGCCAATGATAATCCAACTGAGAGATTTCTCACCGATATGTCTAGTATTCAAAACTATATACACTATAGCCATTTACAAGCTTCTATTGCTGATCGAATACTGCTTGATATACTACACCCGCGCCTATTCATTAAATAGAAAAGTCTTCTGATATCTCTGAACTTAGCTAGTAAGCAATCAATAGGCACCCATGGTGCGAACGCTGTCTCTCTTTCGTGCACCGTAGGCCAAGCTACCTAAACTTCTTTGTACAGACCTGTTTATACCTTCTATTATTAAATGCTAATAAAAATATGTTTATGATTAGCTAATGATAAGTCAATTGATGAAGAGAGAATCACAATTGCGCGTTAGATAACATGAGGGACTTGGAACCGTATAGTTCCAACTCCGTAGCCCTGATATCATGTTATTTATTTGTTCTTCCTATATAATATATACTTCTAAGAGAAAAGTTCAATTTAATTCATTTGGCGGTGAGTTTCAGTTTGTACGTTCGTATCGTTTCATAGATAGCATTTGTTGACCTATTAATCCAAAGGCTAACGATAGTCATAATTAAAGATGATGCCTTTTTCAATACATACCGATTTAATAATTTATCGGCCATGCTCGCGCTTATAAATGTTGCCGGAACGCAATGCTGACCAATTCAGTGGCCGAAATCTGGGTCCTGCTGATAGATCATAATGTGTAGAGAAGACGCTATCGGAAGACCTTATTAAATATTTCTCGATGAGAGTATTATATTTGATTCTGCTTCTCGATCTGGCCGCTTCTTTCTTCTCCTCTTTACGAAATATCTGGATATGGCTAACCGATGGCTGTGACTTCATTGGTTGTCTGGGTAAAAGTCCAGTTCACATTCATGGTAAATACAGCTGCTCCGGATTCGTTGGATTTGCGATCAATCGGCAAATCTCAGGAGATCTTCGCGCACACATTGAAATATACATATACACAAAATAGTTTCGAAGATCTGTACAACTAATCAGCCAGGGCATAAGCGTAATGGAGGCTTCTGGTATTTGCAAAGTGATGGGCAGTTTGCTTTATCGTTATCGATGCCAATATAGTTAGGAAATACGAGTAGGATTTTACGCCGACAAATCGTATAGAGAAAAACTCGGATAGAACAGGAAGGAACGGCCAAGCAAGGGTCGACAGGCAAGGATTATTAAAGCACGCGCACGAAAAATTTGGCTGGTCACAAAACTCATTGTTAGCAAGATGGTCTCTGAAGATAATACGGTAATACGTTGTGACAGGTATTAAATTCGAATTTATGAAGAACGTACAACGCTTAGGTGTAGATCGGTTTTTCATTGATAAAGTAACATACGTTTATTATGAGTTTTTTGATGGTCTTAACGCGATTGTCACAGAAAATGTCGTCTCGCTTCAACTTTTCTTCGTTTCTGTTTGCCGGCGACCAATATTGGGAAAACTCATTTGTCACTCACGAAAAGACCCGCTGACTTGGGTGCGCAAAGAACAACAACAGATAGAAACAACCGTAAGAGACGCTCGCGCTACGCAGTTCATGTGCTTTATTATACATGTTCTTTTATCTACATTTTTTAATGTATAGGATAATGTTAAATTAAATGATTATTTAAATTTCGACTAATACAAATGAAGAGTACCCGGCCAACATTTGACAGTGGCCGACGCTTTAATACTATTATAATATGTTAGTTTTGTGAATCTAATTACGGGCATCGTTCACCGAATCGCCGAATCCGTCTATTTACTGTTTATTTAAACTGCTAAAGGCACACAGAATTCGTAGATAAGCTAGAGTCTAAATAAAGCACAGACAGGATGAAATGACGATAGGCCATATAAGACCTATATAGACGTTAGAACATCGTCCTATGATAGAAAAATGTTCTGCATATGAAACCATGCACGATGCGATTGCACTACGTTTTTTCTGTAACAAAAAATCAGCTATTTTCAGCTGCATGTGTTTGCCTCATGGCAGGGCGATACGAGAATGCTGATCATTTCCCAGTATACCAAATCTACCATAGCATGATAAAAAAAAAATCATAGCCATTTTTTTCATGGCATTCGGAATTTATAGTGTGTCTCAAAAATACAGAAATTTTAAACTCGTTGCATTAATTATTGAGGTTCGTTTCCAAATCCCGGGGAACGATATCTAAAAATCATGTAATTTAATAAATATAGATCACTTAAGAACTGTATCCCTTACATTTTGTGGATTGCATTGTTATCATTGTTATATTTCCTTGGGTGTAAAAAGTCGACTAGTTTCATACCTCGATGCAATTAGGGTAAAATATGAAATATTACTCTGAAAAAAAATACCCGTTAGTTATTATTACAATTTTCATTGGTTATATCAAGGGACACGCTCAGTATTAGTGGCACAGTTCTATATGATTTATGTCTCAGCATGTAACTTCCATGCAACACCAACGCGGTGACTGGCGAGCAGGAAGACGGGGTTTCGGTCGATTTTCGATCGGGATGCCTTCTGTGCCTATGTTCTTTGCAAGAAATAGTATCTCTGCTGCCTAATTAACTGTCTTAATTATGGTGCGTGCTAACGTGAGCAATGCGACATATGTAAAGGATTTGTTTCACTAAAAAAGAGTAAAAAAGTGAAGATGATTTCCAAAAGAGGTCGTAAATTATCCTTGCCAGACGGATGAACGCATCCAAAGACGTTTCAAGAGGGCTGTTGTCATGTTTATGTGAATTGCCATTCTTAAATTGTACTAATCAAGGAAACCCAAAGCCTTTTTATCTCTATACACAATAGGAACGTCTTCTAGAGACGCGCCGTCCTCTCACCGTACGGTCTGACCGCGTTGTTATTTCTGCTGTTGTTGTCATCCATTTTATCTAACATGACTGAGGCTTACAGTTGGACGCAGCGCTTCTAATAGCTTGATTGTACTAACTGCTACCTTTACTACCACGTCTCAGCTCCGCGACTGTAGTAGTAGATGCTTCTTTGTCTGAACCCAAGACGCATTACAGGCTCCTATGGGCTCAATACGTTAACGTGATTAACAATGCTTATTCACCTGCAATCTTTTCAATTGATATCAACTAACATGTCTGACCTTATTTTATGTTCGTTGTACTTTGTCCTGATTGCGTTTTTCGATGTTGCGCTGATCAGGGGTGACGGTTCAGGATGGAGAGACGGAGATCGCAGCGTCGAAGCAAACAAACAGGAAGGGACGTCGCGTCAAGGACAACAACGGCTCACAGAAAGCAGACCACGTTAAGGACAGAAATAGCGGATACAAGGAGACAACACAGGGTTACCGTGACCAAGGTGAACCTGGGGCAGCCGTCGGCGGTTACCATCAATGCCACCATCAGGAGGGTCGTTCACATCTAATTATCCAACAACAACAAACGGAGTGTGTGAGTGTAGCTATTGAGGAGTCGAACGCCGAAACCAACTATGGGTATAATTGTTCCGCGCCAATCGCCAAGCTCGAAGAGTAAGCCATTCAAGGTCGACTTCAATGGGATCCCAGTAATCAGTCCAGAGCTCAAGTCAATCTCTACATAGCGTACATCTGCAAGCTTAGCGGAGACATCGGCTTCGCATTGTTAGACAGAGCGTCGTACAACATCTAACCGCATTGCGTTATCGCTTACGAGCGTACATGGGTATACATATTATAAGACTCAATATCTGTGACGGTTGTCACAGGCTGAATTGGTCAGTCTTACTATTCTATCGTCCGCACACATATTCTATCCAGCTAGTAGGATAGCTGCATCGTGGTAGGGAGCTCGACGGATCAGACGCCAATGTATCAGGAGGACCGAGATACAGCCGGTACCAGATCGACTCTTGCCCTCAATAAATCGACCGGCTCTACCAGAAGCAACGAAGTCATCGTTACAGAAGATATTATTTGTACGAAGTAATCAAAGACCAACACGTTGAAATCACAGGCGTGAAAAGTAGTGGAACTAGGCAACAAGATCAGTGCTAGAAACCCTAAATAGCGTTTTAGGAAGGTAGTATAGGACCTGCGAGAAACTTGTAGTCAATAATTAGTCTTCTCCAGCGGTGTAACTTTTACACGGTGTCCTGCAGAAACAGTCCTGCGTTAAATCAGGGATAGCAACGAAACGAGCATTTATTAACGTAAGTGCTGAAGACGACTGAAATAAATTTAGAAACGTCGTGATAAATATAATAGCACGACTCTTGGATAATTTGAAACTTAAAACGTTTACACTCTGGGCAGTCAGGGTGAAGATGTGCCTACGCTCAACCGTACCATCACAATAACAACAGCACGGCCGTGTAGGCACAAAACTCTTGTCAACCTTCTGAGAGCGATCTTCTTATTTTTTTTTTGGGGTTAGAGAGATGAAGGTTTCGGTAACGCATCCAAGTTTTAAGCAATGACGCTGTGGAGAATTAGAATGGTCGAGGAGAGTTGAGATGAGTAGAGTTTTTTTGTGATACGCTATTGCATCACTGGCCCTGTTTGCCACGTATCTTTTCAAGACACGTAGACGTCTCGTTTTGTTGGCCGCACAGTTTTCGTGGTCGCATACGTTGGCAGGCTTCGATAAGATTACTCGACCGAAAACCCTTCATTCACGTAAGGTTAAACAGAAACGGAATTTGCGCATAGAGTCGAGAAAACTAATCAATGGCATCATTAGTAATACTTATAGCGTAATGAGTAATTCTACATATTAAGAAGGCAGCGTAAGCACAAATAATTTAAACGGACGACGAGGTGAGATGCACAACTAACCATCATAGTGAGCTTCAAATGATCCATTGAAAACAACACCAAATGAACTTTTATTTCAGCAGGATCGCATCCATGGAAGAATATAAGTTGTGACTAACTGTGATCATTTTATCACGGCTCAACGACAAAACACGTATAGGCTTTGGCCTGGACAGCAACTCTATATCAGCATCGTCGATTGGTTTTCGACGAGAGTACTTCACTGGATCCGATTGCCTTCCCTTTAACTAATCTGCGTCAACCTAAGCCGATACGTAGCTGGTGCGACTGGGCAGGGTCTTAGCATGAATTATGACTACACGCATGAGATTTGCTCTATCGATTCCCATATGAAAGCTACTGACTGGTCAAGGTCTCGTTTTTTCTGCTTTCGCATCGCCAGGGAACAAAGAGTACGCTTTGCTAACAGTCGATACTAACGAAGAACAAAATCATGTTTATGTAAATAACGCTTCGCAGATGAACGCCAAGCCCGACTCAATTCGAGATCGGAAGTACTCTCCATATGAGTGCGTCCACCGCGATAGGAGCAACTGCATAAGCGACCGAAGTTGACCGTCAGTCGCCATGCGCAGTACCAGCATTTTCTGAATTCTCTCTCACAATAACAGTATCTTCATAACAATAATCAACAACGAGCGGGCTCCTATGTATTTTATAATTAGCGCAACGTTGTGGATATTTCCGACAGTCATTGAGCCGGTTGTACTGACCATTGGTATGGGACCACCTCACTTTGTTAAGGTCCTTTAACGAACTCAGGTCGCTAGCCTTCACCGCCCACAATCTGAGGACTATGGCGCATGTTCCGGTTAAGCAATAGCTTCGTGCTACAGAAGCTTCCGCAGCAACAGCCAACAGCAGAATATTGGCGAAAAATGCTACATACTTACTTATAATTCGTCTTCGCCTAGGTATGTACGAAGAACTTGAAATGTCAACACGTTCCTTCACGTGAATATAGCGATATATCTCTAGCGGACATCTGTTTACTAAGCTGATTGTGCATGAAGACGGCCGGGAGATTTTTCGTACTACGCATGCGCAGCATGTACGATAACGAGTACGCCAGCAAGCACCATAGACATTCTGCAAACAGCTCTGCTGGAACTAATATATATATATACGAAAAGGTCCCATCACAATCGTCCGCGTGTTGTGATTTTGAGCTTTGATAGTTGATATAAGTAATCATATTTATATCGAAGTATATATATAGATATAGAAATGTAGACATATTAAAAAGGACTTTTATTTACAACATGGGTGACATGCGTAATTATGGTGATGAAGGTAATGATAATGAGAACAAGTGAGGTTATGTCACGGGCTTTTTGTTGAGTACACGTATTTGTAATAATGATTGGTAGCGAGGCACGTTACGTCAGCTGCAACGACAATGCTAACATTGAAAACGTCAATTTAGTCATACGTCGTTCGCTATGTCATATTATTGCAAAAACTCTAATATGATGTCATCTTATGATGATGATGGCGGGTTGTGCTAAGACGAGTTTTAAAGTTATCGAAGTGTCGTGAAGAGTTCTTCTCGTTGGTTAACTGTTTTACCCTGTGCATGTCTGGTGCTTCCAATGACAGAAACCGTGTGTGGATGATGCTGAAAGAGATTACAATTTTCAAGTGGGGCAGTGCTATCAGCTGTTCATCTTAGCTCGAGTAAGTTATAGTAACTAACAATAAATAAAGTGAGATTATAAAAAAAGCGAACAATTAAATGTTGGACTGTGAAAATTTTAATGTCAACAAACAGATAGGCCTGGATATAAGAGACATGCGGTGGTCCCCGTGATAGCTTACTGAGTAACGTATTTGTCTAACCTTGGCGACATGTTGTGGTTTAGCTTCGAACCCGGACATGGATAGACTTCGTCTGCGAGTCAGCCAGCCGTTTAATGGAACTGGGTCTAACAGCTCGAAGCATAGAGATGTGCGATGGTATGGTCAAGTGAATTCTGGGTCTCCATGAATAATGGCAAACACACTATTTAAAATAATGGAATGAGTTTACGCTAATGGTCACCTCAGCAATGAATGTGCCATAGCGGAAGATATGACACATGGCGTAACAAAATGAGATGATGGTTGAGCTGTAATCTGTCAATTTTCCGTGGCATGAGTTTACTCGGAAAGAAATCTCTAGGAAAAACACTTGTCTACCAAATGTATCCAGTTTCTGTAGCTTAGTTACATATCGCTAGCGTCCTAATGTAAAATACATAATAGTAGTCAGGCTACAGAAGGCTTGTCCTCTTTTAGAAAAAAAGTTCTTGCGTCCACAGTTCATTGTGCAGGGAAGGTCACGCTTTCCCAGAATGTTGTGTACGGCTTCTTATCATGGCAGCGGGAGCAGTAATAGTCGTCACGGCTGCTGTCGCCTGTTCATGTTGGCAAAATCAAAGTTCTGGTATAAATAAGCATTGCCCATCATTAACAATGTCGATACGTGCTACACTGTTTGCTTGTCAACAAAGTATTGATCCATTTTCCAGCTTTTGAGTCACATAGCTAAATCACACGATCGGCGTTGGTGTCATCTGGTTTGGGCAGTAATACTAGACGTATTGAAATGGTTAAGGTGTCTATACTTAGATTTAAAGTTCCTTGAGGATAATTGAAATTTCTGCAAAAATGTTCTATACTTTACAGCTTATTACGATAAAGGCACAAATACTATCTAGGTCCATGAAATTGTTCTTCATGGTCAATATGGAATAGACGGTCGAATAGAAATAAAAGAAGATTCTGCCGATTTAGTTCTGTAGATCTCGACCTAAGCAAAAAAAAGTTAATGAAATTATGGCAAAAGTGAGCTACACCGATATTGGAATGGCGGTCATATCGCAAAGGAACTGTCTGAAGCCGGTTGAACAAAATTGGCCATTAAAAAAAACTTCGTGTTCAAAAATTAAATTGGCGTAAAAAATGTATTCGACCCTATTTCCGTTTGTCATCTATAAAGTACCAAGTAATCTATAAAGCGGTTGATCACGACTAATAAAAAGTGGATTACATACGACAATAATGTCTGAACTAGAAAAAAACGTTAATAAATAAGTGTGCTCCACAATTTATGGCAAAACCGACGCCGGAAAAGGTGCAGCTATGTATTTGGTGAAACTAAAGGTCGCTGCCGTGTGACGAAACGATTGATTTGAATCGCTACTGTCATCATTGACAGTGACAGATCGGCAGCGTCGTCTTCCATCATAACAGCGCCAGATCACATAAAGCATTTTTAGCTAGTCGGTAAAAATTGAGAGAAGCTGGACGACAATTTCAATACATCCGCCCGGACCTTGTATCATCAGACTATCACCATTAATAATGTTCATTTAGTTCCATTGAAAGTACGTAAAAATTGTTTGTTACAATCGTTCAACCAAAACAAACACAAATGGAACTTTATGGTTATAAAGTTCCATTTGTGTTATGGTTTCAACGGAAAAATTACAGACGGTTATATTAGAACGGCGCATAAAGAGTTAAGTAATAACATTTTGAAATATTAAAAGAAATATTTGCTTAAAAGCGGTCAATACGTCTTCGATAAGCTGACGCCAGCACCAGCAAGAAGTAAGCAGCCAGCGTCAAGAAACCGTGGACACTGACGTGGGCGCATTTTATGCACGTACGCACTACGGCAAAAAAACGAGTACGCGTGATCTCGTCTTGTCGTGCATGTTTAAATGCTAGAGCCACAAAGTACCTTAGCTAGAGTTTGCCAACCCGTTGAAGGAATATCCGTTACCACCTGAAGCTTTACTAGGGGCTCGTCCTCTCCAAACGTAACGAATTACTGCTACTCAGAAATGTTTTGCTAGGGCAGAAATTGAAAAGGCAAACCATGAACAAGTTGGACAGCGTGCCGCTCTCCTTATCGTTAGTACATTCGAACATAAACAAGGGATGAGCGTCTGAACAACTGCCATTCTTTACATCCCATATACAATGCGATCGCAGCGTCTGCGTAGGAAAGACAGGAGATGATGTACTCGAAACAGACGTATTGACTCTGTACTATCGTCGCGAAATGCCATCGAAGCTAATGACTAAAAACAAAGCCAAACTTGATATTATAAAGATAGCAATGAAGTGATCGATCAAGAGCAAGCCTTGACCTGGCTCCATATGTCCGCTCTACGCAGTCGCGTATATATACATATATATATATATCAACGATATATGACAGATTCTATCTTGTACTTGAGGAGGTGACGTTACTCTCCAGGTGTCGACACGTGTAGCACTTTGACTCTTTGTATGGCCGCGAAGTTACAGACCGTGAATGCTAGCTTGCACCAGAAAGGCAATGGCGGTCGTTTGAAGAAGAAAGTACGAAAACGTTATACGATTGCCACTCCTTCCTGAGTTATTATTATATATATAAGTCAGGAGAAATACTGACGAACACCAATCTGTACATATATGCTAATATGCATATATATATATATATATATATATATATATATATATATATATATATACCATAATAAATATATAGAATGTTGATATTAACTATTACGTTGTGAATAAATTTAGGTATTGCTGCGTGCTCCTAGCGGAGATTGTTGTTTTCAATAACCTTTCAACAGAAGCATTTTTTAGTTTTATTTTTATCGCGAAAAGACGTACAACGTAGCTAATATTCCTAAAAATTCATATTTTATAAATCTAATTTTGGAGGGTTGCGTAATCGACTTTTCAAGCCACCAAAAGTAACACTGTATACCTACGGTATCCGATGTGAAATCTCTATTGCCAACAAACTGATTTTCATAGTATCTATATTATAAGATTCTATGTTTAGCCTACTTAAATTAACACTTGGCTTTTGAATCTTTCTAGGAACAGCTGATTTCCTCATACAAAGATCTATAAGGATAGAGGGGCTTTGCACTAGTGGTTTTCCTGCTTTAAAAGCGCGTGAACACCCACGTTAGGGTGGTCTTGACGATTTACAAACGCTGCTCGGCTTAAAGTTACCCCTCGAAGTTGGTCATGGGCACAATGATAAACGAATGTGCCGTGTCTTAACACGTAGACATACATGGTGTACGGACTCTGAACTAATTTCTAGAAAGATTTCAGTTTGATGGCTTTCTTTCGCACGATTTATACGATAGAAAAGGCAGCTTGAAGAATGCGATTATAAATCCGCGCTGAAGACAACCACAATTCCTCTATCTTAAGCTAGGTATCTCAACGTCGTAATGATATCTAAGATGGGTACGCAAGTGTCGAGCAGCGCGAGCGCAGGATTCTTATAGTTCTTCTTTGCAAAAAAAATCAATTTGGCACGATTCCCTAGCTTTCCTTCCGCCTCGAAACTTGCTGCCGATATTCAGCTTTTCTGCAGCAATGATCCTCACTTGTTATATGCAGCCTTATATGTAGAGGGGGTCACTAGGCAACATCGCTTACGCTCTATGACGTTTGGTCAGCACTAGAGGCGGCAAGAGGTCAGAGAATTGATCCTGGTCTTTCAACTCGAAGTACCGCAGAAGCCGGTTTAGAGAATGACTGATAATTTATGAGGTGACCTAGCCGAAAGAAAACCATTTCTAGCGGTTTGCTCTAACTTCAGCATGTTCCCAGGGTACGTTCCCAAGTCTACTGAAACAGTCGTTTCTTTAAACTTCCATGCTATGCGGCTTAAATTTAATATACAATCGTCTGTTGGCAAGTAGCTTGTTAATACGCTTTTAATTAGATAATGCTGCTTGCGGCCCACCCCAGAGCCAGTGAGAAGCAGACGATTCAAATACATAGCTGCAATATAAACGTGATAATTAAAGCTTGCCTTGTGTCTAGGTTAAATACGCATCGCAAAAGTTGCGTCTTTCCTTGCTAATGGCCAACTGTAGGCAGTAAATAATATCGAGCTACTTTTCCTTATATCGAAACGACAGATCCCTTCGATTTTTTTCTTTGCAACTCGCTTAATATTTGAATTTACACGCGCAGCGGTGCATTGAGTGAGACTGGCCTGCCATATTGTTTTGAACGCGGCAGTTGTGCAGAATCACTCTTCATACCAAACGAACGGTTTGAGGCTGTCTGGACGATGTTAATAACTTCCATCGCAGCTAAAATGCTCTAACTTGTTAGGCGTAAATATTACCTTGTAGTGAACTTTGCTGTTTTTAGTCATTAACTCTAATGTCGCGCGTATCCATACAAGAGCGCATCGTGTACACCTGTTATTTAATGTCGACTTTAGTTAAACACATGTATAGTATTTCGATTATGTTGTGTTGTCTTACTCTGAGTACCCAGGGCAAACTTTCCACAGATACTCTACTGTTATTGCGCTGGTGAGAAATTTGCTCGATGTGCGATTATAAAGGACCTATGAACAGAAAGGCGTACGGGGAAAACACATGGAGAGAAAACTGAAGGATCGATGCATTGTCAAGGTCGCCAGTGACCGTGTAGTTTTACATGAGTTGTCATTATGGCGACGACCCCAGTGACGTGCGGCATATGCCGTGTCGCAAGTAGTCGCATTTGTTTTCCAGGCCTATAGGAGAGAAGAGACGCAACAATGGCCTGAAACAACCCTGGCCTAACTAAAAACGTGCATGTATAAGACACGATTTGCTTAGCTGACGAAAAGAACTTCGATCCAAATGCTTGTCAAATGCCACACTTGTAAGGTCCTTCAATTCGTGGACAAAAAGGCTTCGGCCCAAGAGTTTGACGAATGCCATACGTGCAACGTCCTTTTACTCAATTCAAAACCATAAACTGTTCTGTAAGGGAAACAAAGACGTAGAGAATGATAGTACATAACCCTTCGACACAAGCGAATCTAGGGATCTGTATGTCTGATTCGCCTGAGACAATTGTCAGCCCTTCCTGTACGCGTTACTTAGTGTGTTAGTACATTCAACGTCACTTGAACAAACTCTTAGTACAGAGATTTGTGCCACTCGATCGTCTATAGGGAATTATGCGTTAGCCAGCTAACGGCCGGTATCGATCCAGGAAGTGCGAACAAATTAAGATTTATTTATGAATTGAACGAAATGGCTGCATTTTCGGTGTTGGTACTTTTCCTCGTCTGATCATTCTGAACACCGTTCGGCAAATGTGATATTTGCTTATCTAATAAGTACTTCTGATGACTGGTCCTATATACATTTTATCCTAATCAGATATGGATTCTCCGAATGTTGGCGGCTGAGCTATATAAAGAAAGACGAGCAGGAATTAATAGTCGCATACATTTTGCTTACTTTTGGGGTTATTTACGATGGTCGTTAAATTAAATTCACTTGGGAAAAATCGACAGACGTACTATGTACCACTATTAACAGCAAAAATAAGACAAATTTATCATTGAAAGACGCCTCAAATGTACAAAGTCGGAAAAACGGGCTAAATTTGTATTAGTCTTCTATAAACGAATCCATATGTCTTATTGTACTATTACTAATGTAATCCGTATACCTGGCTCGTCCGATCCTTTACGATGCGAGATCTTTGCTTGGAAAGAACGTAAATTCAGCAGTTGTCGAGGATTTTTTCTTTTCGCTCCATATACCGGTTAAACAGCGCATGCGAGATTCTCAGTTTGCCTATTGTAAATATACAAATAAATCAGCATAGAATATAAACGGCTCATCGTATTGGACAAACAATTTGAGCAGAGCCAAACTACAAGTTGTTTATTATAAAGGGATTGTCGCTTCAGTCGTAAGGGACAGACTGTTAGAGTGTGCAAGCTTATGGTATTATATGCAATCAGCCGGGGAGCCACAAACAGACTCACTGTTGGAATAAGCGTGACGTTAAAGGGTTTATTTCAGCTAATCTTGAAGCGAATTTTTGCACACGATCATCGATTGTTGTTGAGCCTGATTATTGAATGTTTTGAACGCTTCAAACGAAAATCTCCGTTTTCGAAATTGGCATTTTTCGCCTTTATTTGTAACTTATCACTCGTTCTGCCGAAACTTCCGCGAAAAAGTTACACTTTCGAGAAAAGTGTAACTAAGCCGTTAGACCGATTGTCTGTATGAACTGCGCCGTTAACTAGGGGAAATTAGCGTCTGATAATTCTTAATGCTACAGCCATCGATTGGCGCCAAAATCGAATGCTGTCTCTTTGAGCAGCCCTGTCGAATCTTACGACTGTGGCCCTCTTTAGCTACTCGCTTCGTTGTAGAATGTCGCCGTCCGTGAAGATCTCTAACGAAAAGGAGATTCCCAATACGAAGAAGAGAGAACCCTCATGGTACCCCTCTTCTTTTAAGGCTACCCTAAGTTCACGAGAGGCTCACATGGCATCTCATCTTCCCAGGAGTCGTTTCGATGCGACGCGACGCAACGCAAAGGGCCGTTGGTGCTGCTCGTTTCAATCGCAAGTTCGATTTTCCAAACGGAAAATTTTTCTATCTCGAAAGTTATCTGAGTTTCGATTGCCTCCGCAATGACGTCTTGGATTGTTGTCTTGCTTTTATGTGGAGTGTCGCAAATTCACGGTAAGATTTCTAATTGTTATTTAGTCACTGTGATCCTAAATGGCTGAGAAAAATTGGTATTGTTGTTTTTAGGGAGCAAAATCCCTATACGTACTATTCGCCAAACTCTTAGCTATAATGATAGTCTAAGTGAAACAATTGACCTTGGCCATCCGCTTAATGTTTCGAGCGACGCGTTCAGCTCTACCGGCAGCTATTCCCGTGTTACTTCCTAAATACTTAAAAAAACATTTAGTTCTCGTATCAATTTCAAGTGAACCTCGGGTAACGCTCAATATTTAATTAAAACAAGACGCACATGGGGTATGCATAAATTCAACAGTTTGCGCGGCTAAGATGGCGGCTTTCCTATAAAGCAATGCGAATATTGGCACCAATGTAGAACGAAGTGACACAATGGGATCTGTCCACATAAACTGGTGTTAGGCAGAAGGTACAAGAATGCATTCTGCTAATTTCTGTCATAAAAATATAAGCCTCATCAGTACCTGCTGGCGCATATCGAAGCTACACAATAGAAGCTCTAGGGCCGAAATATTTGGGATCAATAGGTCTACCTCAACCTAATTGCTAATTACGGATGCAATTTTTGTACATGAATTTATCTCGATGGTGAGTTCTAGACCGCTGTCGTGACACTTAAAAAAAAAAAAGTTTGATGTGTTAAAAACACAAACCTGAAACCTGAAAGATATATTTCAATTCGCAAGCTTAACAGATTTGATTTTGAGTGTTTGAGATACGTTATTTGAGGTTAGGTTATCGTTACGTTTTTTTTTTTTTTTTTTTTTGGAAACGCGTTTAAGGGTAATTCCTACAGCTAATTTATTGGGTGACCAAATTGTGAGAATATTATTTCTATCTTTGTTAGGAAATTGTTAAATACTAACAAAGTGAAGTAGGTGACTAAACAGTATCACTTGTTCATCCTAAA